ACACCCGTTCCTTACCTTCTTCCATATGACAGCATGTTGGCACCTTAGATGTCGCTTGAGATTCGCTGTGTTCTTCCCTGCCATTTTGAAGCCGCAGACTCTTTGGTGGCGTCCTTCCTCTGGTGTTTCCCTTTGTTCCCTTTGTGTTGTAAACGAAATGACTCCATACATCCATGCGTTTAACTAACCGCACACCAGTATCCACAATGACTGCGAAGTTGAGCTAAGCTACTACTGACTGAGTGCTGCGGTGCGCTGTGGGATAGGCAACAATGTGTAATCTTCTATGAAGCTCAAGTAACACTTATAATAACAATTACAAATTAAGCATAAACAATTAAATTTCTTAATGTCCATTCGTCAATGGATTGTACATTTTATCTGTCTTAGACAAAAATCATTTTTTATTTTCGTCATATTTTTTATTTGTTTCGAAACAATTTTTGTTTGTTATCGTCTTGTCATTGTCACGTGAAAAAAGGGGCGTTGACGAAATATTTTCGTCATCGTCATGGTTGACGAAATTAACACTGCAAGGCATACTCATCAATTTTTAATAAGTTTTCATATGTTGCTGCAGTCTTGAAGATTTTCTAGTCAGAGCATTCAAAACAGACTTGGATCTTCTACATGGCTCCCTCAGACCACACTCTGACCTATTTAACTTTCCGTTTAGCCCTGATCAGCTGGGGCTTATATGCAGGGATAAGCATGACCGAGGGATGATCTAATGACCCGAGGTGGGGGCTGCTCTGAATGCATTTTTTATGTTAGAGTAAACCTGCTCTAAAATGTTTTCACCCTGAGTTGCAAAGACAACATGTTGGTGAAACTGAGGGAGAACAGTCTTCAAGTTAGCCTGGTTAAAATCCCCAGCATTGATGAAAACACCCTCTGTGTGCAGATTGGAGCTCTGAGATAATACTTATAAAGATTTTCTATTCAGGATTAGAAATCGTCTTTGTAACTCCCACCTAGAAACTCCTGACAGCTATAACTATTTTGGATCTAAGGTAAATAGAATTTTCTGAGCTTTTGTCAATTAATTTGGACACCTGTCCAGGCGTTTTTGTCGAATTTTGGAGTTTTGCAGCCGAGCAAACTGAAATTTGGGAGCTGCTGTTTTTAAGCACTTGTTTTGACTCTAATTAACCAGGATATATATATATATATATATATATATATATATATATATATATATACACTATATTGCCAAAAGTATTTGCTCACCCATCCAAATTATTGGAATCAGGTGTTCCAATCACTTCCATGGCCACAGGTGTATAAATTCAAGCACCTAGGCATGCAGACTGTTTTTACAAACATTTGTGAAAGAATGGGTCGCTCTCAGGAGCTCAGTGAATCCCAGCGTGGAACTGTGATAGGATGCCACCTGTGCAACAAATCCAGTCGTGAAATTTCCTCGCTCCTAAATATTCCACAGTCAACTGTCAGCTGTATTATAAGAAAATGGAAGTGTTTGGGAACGACAGCAACTCAGCCACGAAGTGGTAGGCCATGTAAACTGACGGAGCGGGGTCAGCGGATGCTGACGCGCATAGTGCGAAGAGGTCGCCAACTTTCTGCAGAGTCAATCACTACAGACCTCCAAACTTCATGTGGCCTTCAGATTAGCTCAAGAACAGTGCGCAGAGAGCTTCATGGAATGGGTTTCCATGGTCGAGCAGCTGCATCCAAGCCATACATCACCAAGTGCAATGCAAAGCGTCGGATGCGGTGGTGTAAAGCACGCCGCCACTGGACTCTAGAGCAGTGGAGACGCGTTCTCTGGAGTGACGAATCGCGCTTCTCCATCTGGCAATCTGATGGACGGGTCTGGGTTTGGCGGTTGCCAGGAGAACGGTACTTGTCTGACTGCATTGTGCCAAGTGTAAAGTTTGGTGGAGGGGGGATTATGGTGTGGGGTTGTTTTTCAGGAGCTGGGCTTGGCCCCTTAGTTCCAGTGAAAGGAACTCTGAATGCTTCAGCATACCAAGACATTTTGGACAATTCCATGCTCCCAACTTTGTGGGAACAGTTTGGAGCTGGCCCCTTCCTCTTCCAACATGACTGTGCACCAGTGCACAAAGCAAGGTCCATAAAGACATGAATGACAGAGTCTGGTGTGGATGAACTTGACTGGCCTGCACAGAGTCCTGACCTCAACCCGATAGAACACCTTTGGGATGAATTAGAGCGGAGACTGAGAGCCAGGCCTTCTCGTCCAACATCAGTGTGCGACCTCACAAATGCGCTTCTGGAAGAATGGTCAAAAATTCCCATAAACACACTCCTAAACCTTGTGGACAGCCTTCCCAGAAGAGTTGAAGCTGTTCTAGCTGCAAAGGGTGGACCGACGTCATATTGAACCCTATGGATTAGGAACGGGATGTCACTTAAGCTCATATGTGAGTCAAGGCAGGTGAGCAAATACTTTTGGCAATATAGTGTATATATATATATATATTAGGGAAAAGGCTTTTAGATCAATACAAGTGATGTGTGATGGTAGATAACGAGATCTAAGGCTCTAAGCAGAATGAGGATTGGGGAGACGGGTCTCTTAGGAAAGTCCTTGTTTTTAATATTAGGAAAAAGCTCAGCATCCTCTTCTCCTGCTCACACCCTAACAGACATCCTGCCCTCCTTGGACCCAAAGTTTCCACACATCAAATCGTTTTGTTTCTTACCAGGGGAGCTGTCTGCTTCCACGTCTGTCTTCAACCAAATATGAAGTTGCTGACATTGCTTTTCTCTTCCAGCTGTATATCTACAGAAGTTAAAAAAGGGACTGAACCAGAAAAAAACGGTCTAAAAATAATTGTGGGCAATATTCATACTTTCATTGCCCCACAGAGAAATAATTCAGGTGCAAAAACAATTAGTGAGAAGATGCAACTGTTGCTTATAAGACTGAGTAATATGAAAATAACATTTTAAAGGCTAATCTGAACTGAAGATTAAATGAAGAGCTCCCAGAATAATAATTATTGAACTTTATTGACACATTGGAGATATTTCCCTCTGCATTTAACCCATCCCCTTAGGGAGCAGTGGGCTGCCATTGTGTGGTTCTCGGGGAGCTCAGAAACCCATAGTGGCAGTCTGTGGGAGTGGGCCTCAAACTCAGAACCTTAGGATTCCAAGCTCTTTGCCAGGGATGTCAATTTCAAATACACTGAGGGCCAAAAAAACAAATTTGCTACAAGCCGAGGGCCGGACTGGTTAAATGTTTATTAAAACATATTGAAATTAAAATACCCTATTGAACCAAGACATAACACATTGTTAAAAAAACCCATATATGTTATTCATAAACGCTTAGTATATTAATAAACTTATTAAGATAAATACATAAATGAAAGTTCATGCATTATAGACCAAAATGCATTACTCTGCTGCTCTATGACCCTACCGATCACTGCTTACAAATAAGAAAAAAATGAAAAAAATCGAATCTGTTTTATTCTCTCTTTTATCTGCATTTTTTCCTGAGTCCATTCAACTGAAAAATATGAATAAATAAAATACAAAAAGCTATGGCACACAGATAAAACAATACTTAATTCAAAGAAAAGTCATGTATTTTACAAAGAAATGTAAAAATTTTGTGATCAACCGTGGCGGCGGATCCAGAATTCAGCAAAAGGTTCTTTAAAAAAAGGAATTTATTAAATAAAAAGCAGAGCAATACCAAAAAGGACTGACTAAAGGTGTATGCAGAGGCTAATTGGAGCCATAATAAAAAGAGCCTGGATGGAATCTCCATCTCTATCACCTGCAGGATCAGCTCCGCCCCTCCCTCCATCCAGGCTCCTTTTATTTTGGCTTCAATCTGCCTCTGCTGACACCTGCCAGCAGCAGATGCCGAGCGCAGTTAGCTCACTCTGCCTCCTTAGACAACCCACTTCAGCCCAGCTTGGATTGTTAAAGGGGGAAAAGCAAAAACCAAAACAATCCAAACATGCAAAGCAGAACAAAAAATTTAAATAAAAGAAAAACACAAGCATGTTTTCACCTGGGAATGTAGTGTTGGTGCTTGCAACTCAATCGCACCAACTAGGGATGGAACGGTTTATGAAAACCGTCCGAACCGTTCGGTTCGACTGTCTCGGTTTGGTCCGCGTGTGTTGCGTTCGGTTCATGTGCTGCTCCTTTTTCTCATAGGCGAAGCGTTTACACTCCAGAGCAGAAGGTGGCGGTACTGCGACCAAAGCCAACCACCAGTAGTAAATAGAAGAAGAAGCAAAGCAGCGTAGCCGGGTGTAGCAGAGAAAAATCAGTTGTTGTGGAGAGTTGTGTGGGTATGGCGAGTGGGAAAGAACAGGAGTTGGAAGACGCGCCAGCAGCACTTTATAGGTCTGCTGTATGGGACCACTTTGACTTTAGAGTGACCTACGATGGCGGCGGAAAGAAAGTTGTGGATAAAAGTGCAACAGTGTGAAAGCATTGTGCAACACGCGTCGTACTTTACAAGACATAATAGATTTTCCTAACAATCAACATATACCGAACCGAAAATCGTGACCACGAAACAGTGAACCGAACCGAACCGTGGATTTTGTGAACCGTTCCACCCCTAGCACCAACACTACATTCCCCACAATGCAACAGTAGCCCGCAAAGTCACAGCAGTGCGCTCAAGCGGCCGTGGCCTGTGGGCCAGTTCTAATGGTAATTAAATACCATCCAGGGGGCCATTGATAAACAATTCGTGGGCTGGGGATCGTGGGCCTTGACTTTGACATTTGTGCTCTATGCTCTAACCACTAGGCCGCCACCCCAAAGAAATAAAATGAAAATCTACTAGGAACTTAATACAAATGCTAATTCAGGTAAAAAATAGGAAATGTTCAGGGAAAAAAATTCTGTCTACAGCCCTTAGCATCGAAAACATCTTGAAGTGACCTGGATAGTAGGATTTACACGGACATTTAATTTTCCAATTGAATAAAACAAAATTGCTTTTCTTTCTTTCTTTTTTTTTTGGTCTCCCACAGTTCAAACTGGGTTCTGTCTTGCTGGATCCAGTCAAAAAGCCAGCTGAAGCAGTGGCAGAGGTGCTGATCCACACTTTGCAGCGAGGAAACACACTACAGGAGCACAACAGGAAACTGATGGAGGAGAACCAGAGGCTGATACAAGAACACCAACGCATTATTGAAGAGTAAACACACACTGAGGACACAAAACATGAAAGTCATGAGGACCGATCACCATCGGTCCTCATGACTTTCATGTTTTGAAAGTCATGAGGACCATCGGTCCTCATGACTTTCATGTTTTGAAAGCTAGGCTGTTAAACTTTCAAAATATCATTACATATTATTCACGATGACTATCATGGTAACCAGTTGCTCTTTATCCCTGGCCAGTAGTACAGCTTTAATCTGTCAACATTTCCGCTGTCTTCCTGACCTCTCAGCTCAGGATCAGTTTTGGAAAATATGATTCATCGTTTGCAACAAATCCTGCTTGAATCAATAGTGGAGAGTTTTATTTTTTACCGGGCTTAAACCCAACCCCTCTCCATATGCTTGGAAACAACACATCCTAAAGCTGTGATTGGTTGCTGGTTAGCTAACTAGCAGAAGATATTTAGCAGTAAATCTCAAAGTAGAATTAGCTGTTTTTATGCATCATATATAGGGTTGGGAATTGAAAAGATTTTCACGATTCCGATTCCCTTTTCAATTCTATGAAACGATTCGATTCTTTATCGATTCTTTTTTCGATTCCAATTTGGGGAAAAAAGGAGAACAAACAGTTTGATTATCAGCATCAACTTTGTTTACTTAACTATTGCACAATCTTACAAAATCAACAAGATCAAGATGTCCACAGGAAATGTGAAACTGGAGTAACATCCGTGTTTAAATGAAAAATGAATACAAGAACAAACTTAATTCAATTCAATTCAATTTCAATTCAGTTTATTTATATAGCGCCAAATTCACAACACATGTCATCTCAAGGCACTTTACAGTTCAACCAGATCATACAGTCAAATTGATACAAAGTTTTCTATCTAAGGAAAACCAGTTGATTGCATTGACTCATTGACTCAAATACAATCCCCCACACTAAGCATGCTTGTAGCGACAGTGGAGAGGAAAAACTCCCTTTTAACAGGAAGAAACCTCCAGCAGAACCAGGCTCAGTGTGAGCGGCCATCTGCCGAGGCCGACTGGGGTTCAAGGAGACAGAAGCAGAGATACAAAAAGCAGCTGTAAAAGGCGGCCCCGTTCAGGAAACACACAGCCAGGCAGACGAGCTCCAAGGCAGCTCCCATGCCAGAGGACGAAGAGAGCACATCCACTCAGTCACGGTCAGAGAAACAGGACCACACTGGAAAACAGGCCGATCTCCAACATCTATTAACAAGGGTGTTGATAGAAGCAGCACAGCTGATGTTTTTTTCCAGGATGACGTCACAGCCAAACAGGAACAGACGAGGCAAAGCTACTCTGAGGAAAAGCAGAGAGAGCAGAAGGTTAGAGATTGAACTAACAGATTCTGCAGAATAGGAGAACAGAGAGAGAATGAAGCAGAATGATGAAATGGGGGTCCCTATGTCCTCCAAAAGTCTAAGCCTATAGCAGCATAACTATAGAGATAGCTCAGGATAACCTGAGCCACCCTAACTATAAGCTTTATCAAAAATGAAAGTTTTAAGCCTAGCCTTAAAAGTAGACAGGGTGTCTGCCTCACGGACTAAAACTGGTAGTTGGTTCCACAGGAGAGGAGCCTGATAACTAAAAGATCTGCCTCCCATTCTACTTTTAGAAATTCTAGGAACCACTAGTAAACCTGCAGATTGAGAGCGAAGTGCTCTGTTAGGAACATAAGAAACAATCAGATCTCTGATATCAGATGGAGCTTGGCCATTTAAGGCTTTATATGTGAGAAGGAGGATTTTAAATTCTATTCTTGATTTAACAGGAAGCCAATGAAGAGAAGCCAGGATAGGAGAGATATGATCTCTCTTTTTCATTTTCATTAGAACTCTGGCTGCAGCATTTTGGATCAGCTGAAGGCTTTTAACTACAGTTTGTGGACTTCCTGATAGTAAAGAATTACAATAGTCCAGCCTTGAAGTAACAAATGCATGGACTAGTTTCTCAGCATCACCCCTGGACAGGATATTTCTAATTTTTGCAATGTTCCTCAGATGAAAGAAGGAAATTCTAGAAACCTCTTTGATATGGGATTTAAATGACAGGTCCTGATCAAAAATAACACCAAGATTTTTTACTTTATTATCTGAAATCAGTTTAATCCCATCCAAATGAAGTGACTGGCTAATCAGTTTCTTTTTCAGAGACTCTGGTCCAAAGACTATAACTTCTGTTTTGTCTGCATTCAGAAGCAGAAAGTTAAGAGTCATCCAGGTTTTTATGTCTTCAAGACATGCCTGTAATCTATGTAATGGGTTAGCTTCATCTGGATTTATAGACAGATATAGCTGGGTATCATCAGCATAACAGTGGAAATTAATCCCATGCTGTCTAATAATTCTACCAATTGGGAGCATGTATAAAGTAAAGAGAATTGGTCCTAGCACTGATCCCTGTGGTACTCCATAGGTAACCTTTGAGCGTGTTGAAGATCTATCATTAACATGAACAAACTGAATTCGATCAGATAGATAAGATTTAAACCAGTCTAGTGCTGTTCCTTTAATTCCAACAAAATATTCAAGTAATTTAACGTTAAGAATTATTAACTTAATAACCAACAATGTCTAATAACAAATGATGGGATAATAACCTATTTTAAATAACAAAAAATACTAATTATAAAACAGTAGTAGGGAAAATTAAACGTGATTTTGCAGAAAGATGAGCATATCTGCTTTTTCTGGAAGGATACGGGATCTTTCAGGGCTTATGGTGTCTCCAGCCGTGGAGAACACCCTCTCAGATGGGGTGGAGGATAGCAAGGGCAGCGTATCTTGCTTGTTCCACCACCACAGTGTGGCGCTATCCCTGCAGGGGATGGAGGGCAAGCTTTTATAGAGCTGGATTTCCTGATCTACCCTCTGGGCTAAGGAAAGACGGGGCTTTGATTCACAAAGTGACTGCAGCTCGTTGTCTTCCTCCTCGAATAGTTCTTCCAACTTACGTAACTTGCGTAACTTGCGTAACTTACGTAACTTACGTAAAAAACGTGACGTAAATCGTGCTCCCCAGAGCCGGCGCTCTAGGCTCTGGTGCTGCGGGAATCGAAAAAAGAATCGTTCAGAGAGCTGCCAAACGATGCCATGGAATCGGAAAATACGGAACCGGTTCTGAACAGGAACCGGTTTTCGATTCCCATCCCTAATCATATATAATGACTTCCTGTCTTCATTTTTAGATGCATGTAAAACAGTAAAACTCTTGCTTTCTTAAGCCTGCCTCCCCTTTTTCAAAGCACTGCATTTTGTATCTCATTTTTTTCTTTAGTTTCACATTGATTGGACAGGAAAACTCCCTTTCCTCTTTTGGAGGAAAGAGAAATTTTCACTTTAGTTTCAGTAGAAATGATAAATGAATGATGCTTTAGGCTTGTTCAGCATCAACAAAACAATCTGTTTTTTGAACTAAATTAGTTAAAAAGGTCAGTGTTTAGTCCTATTTCTCTCATAGACTATGGACAATGGACTCTTTTACTGTGACCAACTGAATGTGCTTTTTTTATTCCTATCTTTGACATGAAAATGGGCTCAAAGCTCATCTGCTTAACCGTTTCTATCCTAGACAGCACCGACTATAGAGCTTGTTTACTGTTACATTCTCTAACATAGAAAATATTTATGGGATCAGTGCCTCTATGTTCCTTCTGTGTGTCTTTTTCTGTCTCTTCTTGAACCCCAGTCAGCCCCAGCAGAGCGCTTAGTTTTGCTGGATGTTCTTCTCAAAGGGAGTTTTCCTCTCCTTTGCATGCATGCTCTAGGTGATGTTTGATGCAGAGTCTTTGACAAAAAAAGAATATTCTTTAAACCATAATTGATTAGCTGCTCAATAGTCATTTTGTTGGTGAAGCGTTAATATTCGTGTGATTTCTTTGTAATGTTGGAGCTTGAAAAGTTTAGTTTAGGGAACTCGATGTGAAGTTTTCTAGAAGATGTTTGGCCTCTCATCCAAGAGACTTCCTCAGTTGTAGCTGGTGGTGGGAGCACCGAGATCAATATACTGTTAGTGTAACAAGGAATTACGGGCTTCTGATCCCTCATCCTGGATTGGCCATGGAGGTCACCTGGGGGGGTTTGATTGTTGTTAGGGGTCTTGAAGTGTTGTGTACTCCAGCGTGGTTTTGGTCACATGCCTCATATAAGTGTGATTTTTCAAGAAGGAAAAAACAAACAAAAAACTATCATGTTTTAACTCCTGCAGTTTAGGCTGCGTTTAAGTCACACCTTTTTTATTTATAATTTCATAAACTAGAAGATTTTAGCTTTCAAATGATGTATCAGGCATGTAATCATACATATAATTTGGGCCATTTGAATATGCAAAAAGGTGAGGGTTACTACATTAATGGATGTTAAAAAGTAAACATTTTTAAGTTTAAAATCTTTCAGCTTTAAAATAATTCAGTTTTACTTTCAAAAATGTTTTCCAATTTCCTAAATTTTACTTAGCTTTTAATATATTGTTTAGTTTATTATCATTTTTTCCTCTTTAAAAACATTTCTAAAGAATCTCCACCGCGCCAATTTAGCTACGTCAAACAAATAATTTTGTTGCTTAATTACCCCATTGGCTGCAGCAGAGAAATGAGAGTAAACCAGTGAAAGTGAGCTTCTCTACAAGTCAATGGATGAATCCAGTAATGCAGCACGCTGTGGAACACAGCACCCAGCTCCTCACAAATATCCAGTGCTGGACAAAGTACTCAATTATAGTACTTGAGTAAAAGTACTGATACTCAATCAAATCATACTCAACTACATGTAAAAGTTACTCAGCCAAACATCCATTCAAATTAAAGGATTAAAGTACTCACGTTTTGAGATATTGAAGTATTCTTAAGTATTAATTAAATGTTCTAATATTAGGACAATTCTGTATCATTTTCAAAATAATTTTAAAGAACCTGTAACTTTCAGAAACCACCTGATGTATTTTTGCTACAGATTCTACTCCACGTGGAAAGAACTTCAGCATAAAAATGCCACAAAAAATGAAGATTGCTACTTTGATTATTATTTCTTATTTAAAAAAAACAAAAACAACACTCTTTCTCTATAAAAAAAAGTAGAGGTTTAAGGTTGAATCTATTACCACAAAGAAACTACAACTCTGCTTTAAGACTCGTCCCACTTAACAACTTGGCCACATGGCAACAACTTATGATAAAATTATAAACTACAAATATCTGCTCTGAGTTTCTCACATTTGTGGAACATCATGCAAATTTTTAAAACAAGGGTGTCCATATTCAGTCCTAAGGGCTGCTATCTTACAGGATGAAAATGCATTTCGAGAAAGAAAAACGGCAAGAGCAGATTACAAAGCTAAGCTGAGCCGAAAGCAGCAAGGAAGTGGAGTAGAAAGTACAATATTTGACTTTGAAATGTAGTGGAGTGAAATTTATAAGTACCCCCTCAAAAAGTTAGTCAAAGTAAAGACACTCAAAAAGAGTACTTAAGTATGGTAATCAAGTACTGTAAATGTACTTTATTACTTTCCTCTACTAGAAATATCCCACCATGTTCTTCAATCAGATCCAAAGAAACTAGCTTTTCTCCAGCTTTTTATTATTATTTTTTTCATTTCTTTTAATTTTCATTACACTGTAACAAGTAAACAGTAACGAAATAAACTCTGCATTTAACTACTGTTGCGCCGATGCCATTTTTTCGGCCCCGATACTCGATACCTGGCTGTTCAGTATCAGCAGATACCACCTGTTTGAAATTGATGTGTGTGTATATATGAATGAAGAACTGCATACTACTTGGATGTAAAATAATTGCCATCATCGTTGTCAAGCTGCTGCCTACCTTTGTGAAGCAGGAAAAAGTCTAATTCAAAGCGAATCCCGTGAGAATAGTTGAATAAACTTTTGCCTTTCAAAATGTTATCAGTGCCCTATTTATCGGTACTCACTGATTCCATTTTAGTGCAGTCAGTGTTGCCAACTCAGCGACTTTGTCGCTATATTTAGCGACTTTTCAGACCCCTCCAGCGACTATTTTTCAAAAAAGCGACTAGCGACAAATCTGATGACTTTTTACTGTGTCACTGGCGGCTTTTGGAGACTCTTACGTGAAAGCATGTATCGTTCCTACTCTTGTCCTCCAGCGGCAGCTGCTGCGGTGAGGCGCCTCCCCCATCCCAACCCCGTTCTCCCGCTCCCACAGGAGTCCCTCTCAGCGCTGCAGTCAGAGCCGCAGGATGTTTACCCTCAGCGTCGAGACTGCAAATGAAGCGCGCATGCGCTGGGATTGACGGCACATATTGATCACGCGGTGCGGCTCCACCCTGACTGACATTCAAGGCGGGAGCGAGCGGGATGTAAATGTAAAATGTTATTTGGTCTAAAATGACACTGTTTTTAGGCTTTTGTACGGTGACCTTGAGTGTCCAGAAAGGCGCCTTTTTAAATAAAATGTATTATTATTATTATTATTATTATTATTATTATTATTAAATAAATAACATTTGATTCATACAGCCACAGTCAGTCACTTAATCACCTTGTCCATTGTGTTTTCCTCTCTAAGATTAACATTGATCTGCTGGTGAGAATCATTATGTCTCAGTCTAAACTGAACAGTCAAAAATACAGAAAAGAGTGAGAATCAAACCCTGAAAAAAGTAGCTCTATATATTGTTTAGTAAAGTGAGTAAAAACACTGTATAATAGTGTTTTTACTCACTTTATGTCTTTCTGTAACGACATTATTTCTCCCACAGCATCAATAACATGCACATCACTTCCTGTGGCAGATTGCACAAATTAGGCGATTACGTCATTTAGCGACTTTTAGCACAGCCGATAGCTACTTTCCTTACTGAGGAGTTGGCAACACTGAGTGCAGTATCGGGGCCCCGGCCGATACCAGTATCGGTGCAACGCTACATTTAACCCTTAGGGAGCAGTGAGCTGCCATTGTGCTGGGGGTCTTACTCAGGGACTCAGAGTGGCAGTTTGTGGAAGTGGGGCTTGAACTCAGAACTTCTGGCTTCCAAGCACCTCTAGGCCCACTCCCCAGGCTTTAAAGATAACTACAGCTTTAAATTCTCTGGTGCCTCCAGTAATTGTTAACTCTGTACATTTTATCTGCCTTTTAAGATTGTTAAATCCCGACCAAATATCACCTTAATAATCGCTTCATCTGTGCAGTGAAGGCAAAGCTCCACGGTTCCCCTCTTCCTCTCCATCCATCACAGATTATTAGCAGTAGTGTTTCCTTGCTTCCATGTGTGTTCCATATGTGATCTGTGTGGGTGTGTTTGTGTGTTTCAGGCTCAAACACTATGCTGAAGGTAAAGAGGCCCTGGAGGCAGAACTGTACTCTCGGTTTGTCCTGGTCCTCAATGAGAAGAAAGCAAAGATCCGCAGTCTGCAAGAAGCCATCACAACCCTGCAGGAAACAAGGTGCAGAGTTCTCGTTAACCAGCTTCATTCCAACCTCAGCACGCTGAGACACTGGACCTTTCTGATGAATCTCGCCATCTTATTTGCAGCAATAGCCAAGGAAAAGAAAATGGACATGTACATATTTGAGCAAAACTCTAGGCAATCAGATGAGATGTTGTTTTTAAACTCTAAATCCTTCACAAAAACTAAAAGTTAGAGTTTTGTATTTTAGCAAGGACATTTTCTTTTTCTTTTTCAAAAAAACTTTATTTAACCAATGTACATTACATCAGGTATCACTACAGAACTGCATTAATTGCATTCACAGAAAGTGCATAAAGCATATCTTAATACAAAAGCAAGGAAAGTGTTTATGCTACAATTATAACATTCTCACCCAAATATCAGTTATAGTTTTACTTTTTTTTTTTTACTTTATTGAAGCATTTGTTTAAAATTTGTGATATGTGCCTAAGAACCGGAGGTAAACACTTAATTCAACAACATGGTTTTGTTGAACAAACAATTTAAAGACTTTTTAAATTGACATAAACTGAATGAATGAAGTCCTCTTCATTAATTCAGCTTTCATCAGAGAGAAATTGAACAATCATGCACATAAGCAGACAGTCATGTGGATTGAGAACATGTATCAAAATGATCACATTTATTCAATCAGTGGTTGATTAATGTGACATTGATCTCCTTTAGAGATTCTGATGGACGGAAGAACAAGGATTCTCAAAAGTCGGATCAAAAAGGGGGTGATGACGGTGAGGATGATGAGTATGGAGGTAGCACCGACGAAGAGCAAAAGGAAGAGGAGTCAACAGTAGCATCTCAGGTGACATCCAGAGGTAGGATAAATTATACTAAATCGCCTTTAATGATGCACACCATAATTAGTTCATTGGGTTTTATTTTTTTGTCACCTAATCTGCTGTTTCAATTCAATTCAGTTTATTTCTATAGCGCCAATTCACAACACATGTCATCTCAAGGCACTTTACAGTTCACTAGATCATCCTGTCAAATTGTTTTCTATCAAAGGAAAACCAGTTGATTCCATCGACTCATTGACTCGAAGGCAATCCCTCACACTAAGCATGCTTGTAGGGACAGTGGAGAGGAAAAACTCCCTTTTAACAGGAAGAAACCTCCAGCAGAACCAGGCTCAGTGTGAGCGGCCATCTGCTGAGGCTGATTGGGGTTCAAGGAGACAGAAGCAGAGACACAAAAAGCGACTGTAAAAGGCGGCCCCGCCCAGGAAACACACAGCCAGGCAGACGAGCTCCCAGCCAGCTCCCATGTCAGAGGATGAAGGCAGCACATCCAGCCAGTCACCGTCAGAGAAACAGGACTACACTGAAAAACAGGCTGATCCTGGGCGATGCTTTTTCCGATGCTGGTTCTGTGGTATTGGTTCTGGGAGGAGGGGAGCTGCACGGCATGGTGAGATGCAGGTCTTGGGTCTTGTTTTGGGCTCTGGTTTTTCCGCTTGCATTTCTCCTCTTGCATAGGGGAATTTTTATTAATTTTAATTATTAATTTATTAATTAATTTATTTATTTATTTATTTTTCGGTGGGGTGGGAGCGGTTGCGGGCGGGTCGGTGTCTGGTGTTCACTGTCGCGTTGTGGGGGCTTTTCTGCTTGCCATTGCTAAGAAATTGAAGATTTCCTACAACGGTGTGTACTACTCCCTTCAGAGGACAGCACAAACAGGCTCTAACCAGAGTAGAAAAAGAAGTGGGAGGCCGCGTTGCACAACTGAGCAAGAAGATAAGTACATTAGAGTCTCTAGTTTGAGAAACGGATGCCTCACAGGTCCCAAACTGGCATCTTCATTAAATAGTACCCGCAAAACACCAGTGTCAACATCTACAGTGAAGCGGCGGCTGCGGGATTCTGGGCTTTAGGGCTTCAGGGCAGAGTGGCAAAGAAAAAGCCATATCTGAGACTGGCCAATAAAAGAAAAAGATTAAGATGGGCAAAAGAACACAGACATTGGACAGAGGAAGACTGGAAAAAAGTGTTGAGGACGGATGAATCCAAGTTTCAGGTTTTAGGATCACAAAGAAGAAGGTTTGTGAGACGCAGAACAAATGAAAAGATGCTGGAAGAATGTCTGACGCCATCTGTTAAGCATGGTGGAGGTAATGTGATGGTCTGGGGTTGCTTTGGTGCTGGTAAGGTGGGAGATTTGTACAGGGTAAAAGGATTCTGAATAAGGAAGGCTATCACTCCATTTTGCAACGCCATACCATACCCAGTGGACAGCGCTTGATTGCAACTTGTGGGAGCTGCTTCTGGAAGCGTGGGGTGCAATTTCTCCAGATTGCCTCAACAAATTAACCACTAGAATCCCAAAGGTCTGCAATGCTGGAATTGCTACAAATGGAGGATTCTTTGACGAAAGCAAAGTTTGATGTAAAAAAAAAAAATCTTATTCCAAATACAAATCATTATTTCTAACCTTGTCAATGTCTTGACTCTATTTTCTATTCATTTCACAACGTATGGTGGTGAATAAGTGTGACTTTTCAGGAAAACACAGAATTGTTTGGGTGACCCCAAACTTTTGAACGGTAGTGTATGTCGTTATCTCGAGAAGGCAAAGAAAATAAAAGTCAATTACGACGGCTCTCTGCTTCCGTAACTCTTACCATGTTCTTTCCTTTTTGATGAAAAAAAAAATGTAATAATACATTAATGACCTTTCAATTTAGATTGTCGTCCATTAATAGGACCCGATAACAATTGTTTGAGGGGTTTACTTCCTCTGAAGATGCAGGGAGCTGAGCTCCTTCAGAGGAAGTGTAATAAGGAGAGACCAATCCTTCACCAGTACCTTTTCAACCTGTGGGAACATAGATTTTTTTTTTATCTTTGTTTAAATTTCATTTTTTTCTGGCTGCTCCTGTGCTTAGAAACAAATGTTTTTAATCCATAACTGAAGCGCAGTCATGACATCACTGAGGAGTTGGGTAATACGCAGACACAGAGACCTCTGTAAACCCAAAAAGCCTCTGATGTATAACATCACACCTAATTATCTCGCAGACTTTCCCTCGCTGTCGGCCTGGACATGAAGAAAGAGAGTGTAATGTTTGGATTAATTGTGGAGAACATAGGTTACCTTTAAACAGCTGTGGGTAGCAGAACTAATGTATGAAAGTTTTTCACATGCTGGAAGATCACAGCCAGGTTAGTGTTTTGTAATCCATCATGGGTTTTTGGCGACTTGCTGGACCCTGTTGGCTTCCTTCCTCCATCCTGAGAGGAGAAGCTAGCTGGATTATGTTGTTTCTGTTGCCATGGTGCCAGTGCTGGGAAACTTTGGTTTGTTTGGTGTAGTTTGCTGTAGTTTGCATGGAAACTGCTGCCAGGGAAAAACGCATCACAGATCAGATTAGGGTAATTTTTGTATGAAACTTTGATGGCCACACCCTGTGAAAAATAAATAGGTAGACAGACAAACATATTTGCCATATAAAGCATCAGCCTTTTCTCTCCTCAGATTCTGATTCTCCCAGCCCGTTGAATCTCCGTGACATCACGGATGTTGCTCCCTGTCGCAAGCGCCGGTTCCGCCATCTTGGTGCCCCAGAGGTTGCTTTGAAAAAAACAAACCCGGAAAAGACGCAGGAGAAAAGGTATGAGTTTGCAGCCACTGTTCTCATATTTTTCCTGTTTGTGCTCTTGGTAGCAAAGTGGTACAGAGTCTGTCCTGCTTCATAGTTTCTTTGTTGCTTGTGCAGCTTCTATCAGGCCCAATCAGACTCCTTCCATGTGTTAAATGGCAGAGTAAGACCACTTTAGTTCTTTAAAACAGCTTAAGCCTGCTTCTTTGAATGAGACAAATGCACTTATAAATGGCAAATAATGTATAAGAATATAGTTCAGTGAATGGACTGAAATAAACCGGTTTTAATTAGTACAACATAAGGTTCAGTATTTATCTCCATGAAGATCCTGAAGCAGGTGGAGGAGAAGAGCTGAACTGAATACCTACTGCCTACATTCCTTCCTTTCCTCACATCCATCTGCTGTGTTTTTAATGAAAATCTCTTCCATCCTTTCTTTCAGAAGAGTTTTGAAATGATTTGGGCAGTTTAAAAGTGTCCTTCACAACTTTTTTTCTTTGGTTTTCTTTTTCATAATGCCTGAAAGTTTTTCCCACATTTCCAACAGGACCTTTATCTCTCTTGTAGAGATGACATCCTCTTTGTCACCTTTATCTTGCAAAATCCCAAAACGTTTCTTTCTCTGCAGCTCCTCTGTTGAATCATTCCCCCGGGGGTCAGCAACCTACGGCTCTTAAGGGCCCCCCTTGCGGCTCACTGGAGCTGTATGAAAAAGTATTTAGGGAAGAACAAGCTGGATTCTTTTTGTGTTTTGTTTGTTTGTTTCTAATAAAAGAGAAGACCGCTCATATTCAGAATTAAAAACATCTTAAAGGACTTTAAATATGAAATTATTTCCTATTGTTCGATAAATGATCAGTGTTTTAATTCAGAGTGATTTTCATGTGAATGTGCTTCACTGGAGGCATCCATGTTTGTCAAAGAACACTACTGCCACCTACTGGTTTGTGACATCACGGTGCGGTATCGGCTGTTGATCAAGTCCCAGTGCTGTATCTGGTGTTTGTCACAACCTGCTATTGGCCATGATGGCGACGACAAGTGCACTATGGATCAGGAATTGGAAAGGGGAGATAACTCTCTTCAAAATCGCGTCTGCTGCTTCCTTTATGCTGCTTGTAGCAGCTTCTGACGCGCAGCTGGAGCAGCTTTGCCGTTCTGGCTGCGCGGTCGAAAAGTGGCTCTGACGCGCGTTGGGCGGAGCTTCACTATCCTTTCTCTGCCTTGCAGCTATATTTGCTGTGAATAAAGTAGTGGGAATAAAGTAGTTTTAATATGTTTTTAAGTGAGAAAATCCACCTGAAAATTTAATCAGTGCAGTCAGTTCATCCAGATTACCATCCTGCCTTCCAATATTATTTCTGTCGGAGCCGCTCAGACCCCTACATACCAGCGGTGTGCTGTCAGTAGGAATCCCATTCAACAGGCTTGTTTGTCTCCTGAGAAAGCAGACATGTTAATTTTTCTAAAGAAAAACAGCTAAGTAAAAAGGTCCTCACAATGTAACAGTGAATATTAGGTTTTTGTTTTTTTTTTTATGTAAGGAAAAATGTAAATCCTTCCGTAAAAATTCAAAAAATATCCACTGGATTTGGTTTCCAAGATTTGAAGACGTTTCGCCACCTCTCCAGGAAGCTTTCTCAATTCAAATGTAAATGGAAAAATCAGAGCTTATAATAAAACTCAAGATTTGTACTTTATTATGTTGTGTAACTTTCTTTTTCTTCGAATTGATATTATAAACCTGGTATCGAAAAAAGTATCGTTCAGGAACTGGTATCGAAGTGAAGATATCGGTATTGATACCGGCACCGAAAATTTTGAACAATACCCAGCCCTACATGCACATGGGCATTGTCAGTTTCACTATAGCTCTGGTGAATTTCAATGGTGAAGTCCTCTGGAAATCTTCAGTAATTGTTGTTGATTGCAGATGTGTCTAGTAGTTCCCATTGATTTTGCTGGAAGATGGCAGGAGGGAGGTGATACTATAATTGGGCAAAAATGGCCGCTCTCAGACTTTGTGGTCACAACGAAAAATATTTAAATTTTTTTACTTATTAATGCTAAATTCATTAAATCACAGCAAAGGTATTAGTTTTAGGTATAGATAATGACCCATTGCTTATGTAAATGTAAAAATATAATAATGATAATTACTAATAATAATACAAAATAAATGATTAAAGATAATAATAAAATCTGAATTAAAAACAAAACAAAATAAAAATGTGAACATTTCTATCATCAAAGATTACCGTCATAGCCTGCTAAACATGTTTCAGTGTGGCACGGTGCCAGGCTGGGAGCTGTTGTAAACAAACCTCTGTTTGCTCCATAATTAAATTATACTGGCTTCTTTTCATAGCCTACTTCCCTCATCAAAAGGCTGCTGTTGCAGGCTGCGTTTTATTGCACTGTTGCCCCGATAAGGTGGAAAAGAGGATTGTATTGCTACGGGGGTTTTAGGAGGACTGCATTTTATTTCCACGTGGAGGTTTGAAATTACACCAGTCCTATTAATATTAGAATGGAAGTAAAACTTAAGGCACCAAATATGGTACAGCACATAAGTCACATGGTGTGTCATTTTCTCCAGGTGGCGTTGGCCGATCCCTGGCCTAGGCCTCCCCTGAACCATCTACTTTAGGATGATAAGGCTGTTCCCAAAGAATAATTTTAGTTTGCAAGTTGAAGCAAAAAATAAAAGAACTGATATGGGTTGAATGTTTAAAAACTTGTAGTATGTCGAGATAGCACTGCGATTAAATCTATCAATAAATCTTAAAGGGGTGATAGAATGATTCTATCGGGTATTTGGTCCTTCAGGTCTCTGAATGGGATGTGTAACATTGGTCGTGCTGAAAATAGCATATTTGCTTTTCTATGAGCCCTATTGCAGCCTGGTTAAAGCCCTAGAATGAAACCAAAGGTTTTCTTCCTTTTATGGTATGATCATGAATATTTAGATGAGCTGTGCTCTGATTGGTTGGTTTACAACGAGCGAAGCTGCTGAGCAAAGACGCATCATAGCAACAAGCACTCACTCACTGAAACATCCGATTGTTGATATGGTAGGGGGACCAGACGTCCTTTTTTCCCCAGACATGTCCTACTTTTCATACCTAAAAATATGTCTGGGGGGAATTTCAAAATCGTCAACCCTTCCCCTACCCTTGGGCCAGTGAACCAGTGGGCTGGTCTGTATGTCAATTTCGGGGCGTGAGAAACGTTCAGGCCAGAATCAAATAAGGCAACATCCCTGAGTTTACGTCAACTTAGGGCTTCGTTTGGATTTGCCTGTTTTATTGTGGGAGTTTAGAATTGTGAGATTTGCAGATAAAGGAAGTGTCGGTGGGGTTTGAAATTCTCTGTACCTCCATTTCACCCACTGAACTATCGTTATTCATCTATGACAATGGAACCTCTGTTTTGCTTTCTACAGGGTTCCCGCGGGTCCTTAAAAAGTCTTAAAAGGCATTGAATTCTTCAAAATTAAACTAAGGCCTTAATTTGTATTAAAATGTCTTAAATCAGTCTTTCGTAGGTCTTAATTTTTAAAACATCATTTTATTATGATTTATTCTTGTAATCTAAATAAAACATTAAAATTTACCTTTTTTAAATAACAGCTCGCCATTGTTGGTTCCGTCCCGATAGCGGAACCAATAAAAGCGTTGCGGCCGGGACATTTGGGAGATGCACCATTAACTTTTTGTCTGGAAAATATGAGCAAGTGTAAATGTAACCAAAATTGTCTCCAGCCAAGAGTTTTCTCCATGGCTAAAACCAGGGAACATACATGAGGCTCAATGGATTTAGTGCAAGAAGTCATTCAAGCTCAGAACGATGGGAATTAAGGCAGTGGAGTCGCATGCACAGCACGAAACACAAAGCGTCAAAATGGAGTTACCGAGAAACAGCCGATATTTCTCAGTTTAGTTCCACCCTTGTCTCTGCAACGCCTCCACTTATCAACAAATCAAACATACCAAGAAAATGATACAAAGGAAAATAGCTGCTAAAAAGACTTAGCACTGGTTATGTTGTGGCTTTAAAACTGATTTGTTTTGTTCCCTGCTAAAACAAAGTTTGTGAATTCAATTAAATAATTGTTAAAATATATTTGTAATTTGTGTGTTTTTAGCTTTCTTCCTGTATGGGAAGCTTTTCAAAATTTGAAACATTAGTGCAGTGGTTTATGTTAAAATAAACCTTTGCGTTAAATTGTCACAAGCAGGTTTTTCTTGTGAATTTGGTCTTAAATTTTTATTTCAAGTGGCATTAAAAAGTCTTGAATTTAATTTACCTTATGCTGTAGGAACCCTAGTCTAGGACCCCTTTAAAGAAAAAGAAAAAAAAAAAACATCCAATCTCTCCTCTTGTAAGGTTCCCAGTCATAATTATTGGCCTTGTTGGGAAATAACAACATATCTTTTTTGTCGTCTGTTCTTTGTTCTGCTCCAATTAATCAGTTTTAGGGCTTAAAATGAAAAAAAAAAATCTATAACTGACCTCTATAACTGACCACACAGACACAGTTGTGTAACTTTCCTGTTGTTTCTATGGTGCTCTTGTCAGAGCTTTAGCTCTGATATACAGCTGAAAATGACGCCGCTTCGGTGGCCAAATATCTATCCAGCCAACTTCTGTTTGGACATGTTCAATTAAAAGTATTTCCAAAGACGTGTCTCAGTCCGACTTTTTCTGTAGCAGTTCTTCTACTTCATCAAATAAAAGGCCTGCATTTAAGGTCCTCCAAGTGCTGCTGATTGTAACTGTGCAGCTTGCAGATGGCCGTTTGTGTGCCTTTCAGTCCCAGCCTGTCAGTGAGACGCTGCCGGACAACAGATCATTGCTCTACCTCCTCCGGGATGCCAGACAGCAGTTAGAGGAGATCTTACTCTGGTTGTGGCTGTTAGTAGACGCGGGGGGGGGGCTTCATGCTTGCTTTTACTCTTTACTTTTCATTGTTGTATTTTGTTTTTCGTTTTGGTTAAATGAAAGTT